GTGTGTGCGTGCCCAAGATCCCGAGAGAAGAATGGAGGAGAAGGGATTGCGGCATGGCCATCCCCCCTGGGGGGTGATTTCTCGCTTTCTGTCTCTCTGTCTCTCTCTGTCTTGCGAGCACATGCGCCCTATAGCAAAAACCTCTCCAAAAAGAAAAATAATAACAATAATAGATAATTCTAAGAAGAAACCAAAATCAAAAAGGAATCAGTCTCACAGATTTGGTTTCAGTTTTGGACTCTCCTGGTGGTTAAAGTATAGCCCATGTTTTTTTTCCCATATACATGATAGGAGAGAAATCTTATGCACAAGTACCAAGGATATTCCAACTGAAAAGTCACCCCCTGACAGCATGGCCACACCACAATCCTTTCTCCTCATGGGAAACTGGGCATGCACACACTTGCCCAGAATGAGTTTCAAGACACCGGTTCCCGGACTAGAACCATGATCTGCCATATGGGAGTCCAGCATGTAGCCACCATGCCACTTGCTGACCCTGTTTGTAACTTTTTATGATATCTGACATGGATTTCTTTTAAGCATGTCTTATTCAAATTTCAAAAGAAGATGCAAAGGGACACCAGGGGCAAATACAATTACTACCTAGATAGTGGCAATGATTTCATAGGTATATGCATATGTCCAAATTCATCAAACTGCGTACATTAAATATATGCAGTGTTTTGTTCATCAATTGTATTTCAATAAAGTTATAAAAAAAAATCTGCCTTCTGTGTCAGCAGAAGCGCACATGTGCCAGGTGTGATTTTCAAGTAGCCAGGTCTGCAACTCGAATATGTCATTTCCAAACCTGCCTCCTGAGCTGCAAGAGGGCAGGTCCCCAGGGTCCCATGTGCCCTCTGGCAAATTGAAAAAAAAATCTATCTTTGTCAGTAGTAATATGTTTTGTCTTAAAGTCTGTTTTGTTTAAACTGCTTCTTTAAAAAATGTTAATTTTATTTATTATTATTATTATTATTAAGTTTGCTATAGGGCACATGTGCTCACCAGAGAGAAGGAAACAGGGAAAGTGAGAAAATAAGCCACCAAGTCTGAGACTGGAACAGTAGTCTCAGACTTAACTGCTATGCCACCTGCTGGCTCCAAAATCTATTTTGGTTTAATATTAACCACTCCAGCAGTCTAGCACTCTGTTGGTTACTGCTGCTATGGTATATCATTCCTCATCGCTTTACCTTAACCCTTTTTATATCTTGGATTTTAAAAAAATTGCTCTTCTCTGGATTGGACAGAGAGAGACAGAGACGGAGAGAGAGGAAGAAAGCCCCCCCCTCCCCCACGTGGTGTTGGGCATGCCACAAACCCTTCTCCTCCATCTCTCTGTCCTATTGAAATTTTGGGCACACATACACACTCACCCAGTTTTTTAAGCCACCAAGGCTAGGACTCAAACTGGTCAGGCATGTGGATTCTGGCTTCCTTAACCGCTAGACTCCAAGGCCAATCAGGCATCTTAATTTTAAAAAGTCTAGTTTGTATTAATACTCACTTAATTTCAGGAGCAGATAGAAACTTTGTTTCAATTAAGCTCTATCTCCTCCTCCCTCCTTTGTGCAATTATTGCCATACAAACAGCTTTTTATGTTATAAATCCATCAACACAACACGATTTACATTTATTATTTGTGTAGTCATGTTTTAAATCAGAGAGAAGAAAAATATCACAAACTGACTTTCAGTTTACCTTTGGTGGGCTGGCAGGTGGCGTGGTGGTTAAGGGCGTTGGAGTCCACATGACTGACTGCAGTTTGAGTCCCAAACCTGGCGGCTTGCTCTCTCTCTCTCTTTCTCTCCCTCTCTGGTCAAATTAAAATTTACCTTCGGTGCTTCTTTCCTTATTTTTTATTTATGTGAATTTAAATTGCTGTCTAGTATTCTCCCATTTTAGCCTGAAGGACTCCCTTTAGTATGCTTATAGGGTGGATCTGCTAGCTTCTAGCTCGCCTTCATTTTTTAAAAATTATTTTATTTAACTTTATTTATTTATTTATTTATTTATTTATTTATTTATTTATTTTAATTTGACCAGAAAGGGACAGAGAGGGAGAGAGAGAGAGAATGTGAGAAAGTAAGCTGCCAGGTCGGGACTCGAACCATGTCAGCCACATGGGAGTCCAGCATACTTAACCACTGGGCCACCTGCTGGCCCCAGCTCACCTTCATTTTTAAAGGAGGGTTTTGCTGAATATAAGATTTTAGGTTTGCAGTCTTTTTCTTTCTTTGCTTTGCATACATCATCTCATTCCCTTGTGGTTTCCATGGTTTCTGGTGAGAAAACAGGTGTTAATTTTATTGAGAAGTGCTGGCATGTGATATGTTGCTTCTTTATAATTACTATCGAGATTCTCTCCATCTCTGGCTTTTGATATTAAATAGTTGGATAACGATGTATTTAGGCGTCGATTTCTTTGATTTCCTCTTCAAGGACTTGCTAAAAATACAGATTGTTTGGCCTCGATTTCAGAGTTTCTGATTTAGCGGGGGGGGGGGGGTTTTAATTTTTAGTTTATGGGGGGGGGGGGGGGATTTAAATTTCTAGCAAGTTCTGAGTGGATGCTGATGCCTCCGGTTGGGAAACCATGGTAAGAGAGCTTCCAAAGGACAGAGATACTTTCCCATGAGCAAACATCTCAGGTCCTTCTGAAGTGTTGTGATGCGTCAGAAACGCAGAGTATCACATCGCTAACAAATGCGGCTCCCTTTTGCTTGATCATTTTTACTCCATAGTGGAATTGGGGTTTGCCACACTGAAATTGTGATTGATTTATTAAGATTGTCTAGAATTACATCGTGACAAATGTTATTGGAAGCCTGATCCACACTCAGTGTCTGTTACTGCTAATGAATGAATGTTGAACTTAAGCTGATGTCTATTTTTAAATGTTTGTGAATTTAAATTTGCTTCTTTTTTTAAAAGCTACTGATTTATAAACTCTCATAGTTATAACACATACAGTCTGAACAGGAACACTTTTGAGAATGAAAGGGAGCCCTGTTAATAATTTCTCTGGGAAGAAAAATGTAAACCAAGGTGGTCTCAGGCTCACGAGGCGTATAGGTTTTCCACTAATGTTTTTTGTTTGTTTTTAGTTTCTTGCCATAGGGCGTGTGCACTCACTGGAGAGAGACAGAGAGAGGGAACATGAGAAAGCATCCTGCAGGGAGGATGGCCATGCTTCATCCCTTCTCCTCCATTCTCCTCTTAGGACTTTGGGCACACGCGCACATGTGCCAGGTGTGATTTTCAAGTAGCCAGGTCTGCAACTCGAATCGTGGTTGACCCTGTGGGAGGCCAGTGCCTTAACATGCCACCTGCTGGCCTGGTCCTATTAATTTTAGAAAATAAATACAAAAATACTTTTGCCTTTCTACGAGCTCATCTAATTTTCTTGGCCTTAATTTGTTATTGGGATATTATGTCAATAATCTCTTTTCGTTTATGGGAAAAATAATAAAGGATGTTGTATCAATAAAGCACTTTTTAGAAGAGAGAGTCAGAAAATAAAGATTAAAAGCTAGTTTTATATTTACTTTTACTCCAGACTATTGTCTCTATTTGATTTTTGGTGACATGAGTAGGATCAGATCTAATTCTAAATACATTCAGAGTTCATGGTTAATTTTTATTTGTAACCAGTTAAACCAGTTATGTTTTCTTTTAGAGCAAATTATAAAGACTTACTTTGTACCTGAGAAGTATCCTGGTTATTTTCCTCATTTAAGAACTTATTTTTTTAAGAGAGATTTTTGGTATAGGGCATGTATGCTCACCAGAGAGAGACAGAAAGTGAGAAATCCCCCCCCCCCCAGCGGGGGGTGTGTGTCCACACCACAGTCCCTTCTCCATTCTCCTTTTGGGATCTTGGGCATGCACCCACATGTGCCAGGTGTGAGTTTTAAGCCACTGGGTCCAGGATTCAAACCAAGGTCTACTACGTGGGAGCCTAGTGAGGTAACCATTATGCTACTTGCGGGCCCAAGAAATTTTTTTTTCTTTTAATTTGGAGAGATTTTTGCTATAGGATGTGCCTGCTTGCCAGAGAGAGAGAGAGAGACAGAAAAACAAGGCTTCTGATGTGTTTTAAGCCACTGAGTCTGGGACTCAAACTGCGTTGACTACATGGGAGCCCAGTGAGGTAACCATTACGCCATCTGCTGGTTCCAGAAATGTTAAGTCTTAATTTTAGGTTTAAGGCCATATTGAAGTGAACAATTTCTTTCAAAACTTCTACTTTTTTTTTTCTCCCTATGGAATAACACGTTTTGGAGAGAAGTATAAGAAACTTATTTTTGGGAGTCTACAAATGCTCATTTCTGCACATACGCCACAGAACAGGTCTAGAAGGATATGTGTATGTGGGGAAGTATTCAAAGTGTTCTTGGAAAATGGATTTGTGGGGAAAAAAAACTGCGTAGGTTAAAAACTTTCTTTTGCATCAAAATAAACTGGTATTTCCCCCTTTCTACGAACTTTTGGAAGTCCCCTTGTACACTCAGATGTTGGTAGTTTCTTCTTTTCTAAAACCGTATTTTCAAAGTATTGTGCTTTTAACTTTTTGCTCGATTCTGGCTTGAATGTCCCATTTCCTAACCGTCTCCAAGGGGGGGAGAATATCTGTGTCTCGGAAAAGCGCTCTCCTCTTGGGCAAAGGGCCTTAACATGTTACTACGTCGCGGCTCCGCTCTGGACCTTGTTCTTCGGTAACGTTTCCTTGACGTGAAAATGCCCTCATTACGTAGAAGTTCAAGGACCGTCTGCAGGCACTGCATTCACAGCGGAGGTGGACCTGGAGGGACAGCGCGGCCGCCGGGACCACCTGCTCTGCCTGAGGGGCGGAGCCCGCGAGGGGCGTGCGCGCATGCGCGGCCAGGGGGCGGGGCCGGGGCGGGGCTGCGTGTGGCGTCTGGAGCGGC